GTCGGATCATCAGGATGGAATGAGAGGTAGAGTTGAGTGTCATTAGCATAGCAGTGATATGAAAAGCCATGTTTCTGAATGACAGAACCTAGTGATGCCATGTAGACAGAGAAGAGAAGTGGAATGAGCAGTGGAAACATTAGCAAAAGTAGTATTTTTTTTATTTGTGCCACACCTTTTCAGCAGCCCTGAGCTTAGAATGATGCTCGCGGAGAACATCAGACAGCCAAGGGGCAGAAGGGGTGGTACGGCCCTAGGGGCAGACAGTGTCTAAACAAGATGTAAGAGTGGAGGAGAAAGTATCAGGAGCACTGTTAGCATCAAGAGATGATAACTGTTTAGGGGGAGAAAGCGAAGAAGAACCATAGCAGATAGCCGCGAGGGTGAGAGTGAGCGTAGGTTACGTCGAAAAGTGACATGTGTAGGGGTATGTGTTGTGTCAGGAACCATGTTGAGGTTAAGAGTGAGGAGGAAGTGATCCGAGGTGTGCAGTGGAGTAACCAGCACATGATCAGTGGAGCAGTGTCGTGTGTAAATAATGTCCAGTTGCAGCCCTCTTTTGTGAGTAGCCGTAGTTAATAGTCGCTTGAGATCAAATGAAGCAAGCAGAGTGTGGAAGTCTGCAGCCTGAGGTTTATCTAGGTGGATGTTGAAGTCTCCAACTGGTGGTGTTGCTTTTTTGGTTATTCAGTGTTTCTGTAAAAAAAAAAAAAAAAACCATTGGGGAAAACCTAACAAAAACACTGATAAGATAATAATGATACGAATTCTACTAATAAGAACAATATAAAACGCACCAAGGATTAATGAGCTACTGGATTCATGAATATTAATCAGGTTGTGTGCGTTTGCTCGAACTGATTTGCTGAAATCAAGACAGGGACAATAATAGGTGAGTGCCAGCCAATGAGATTGCCGTTTGCGCATTAGTTCCACCCACTACCGGAGAAAGCAGTAGTTCTTAAAAGCGGAGGAATTCCAAAGGAACTCTGTTATTTTGACAGCAAAATACAACAAAGAATATCGTTTACATGTAGCGCGCATAGGTAGCGCGTCAATTCTCTCTCTCCCTCTCTCGCGTGCGCCTTCACACTAGAGTTTACGGTACATTAAATACAGGTGCGTTGCACATCCATCTCTCAAGATGGGCTTGTCCAATGAGAAAGGCCGGTATCCCAAGTGGGAGTTTTGAGATACTGGGGAGTCTCTTGAAAGCACACCGCTCACTTCTGAGCATCTGATTCCCTCTCATTTGAGAGTCGAATGCTTCACTCTGTGGGCTTC